CCGTGCCAAAGCGAGCAGAAGTCACTTGTGCTGGTCCACACTGAGCTGTTTTGGTTCTTGGAATTCTTCGGCTCTCACTGTCCTGGGAACCTAGCAGCACCACGCCGCCTGCTGTGCCACATCCTAACACTGTGTATTCCCCACCATCCACCCCAGGGCTCCCCGGACAGGCAGATGCTGACATGGAAATGGTGCAGATGCAGAGAGAGCTGAGCTGCAGTCGAGTACTCACTCTGCAGGGCACACGTAGGGAACTGCATGTACTTGACACAGAATAAACTCATTTTAACTGAGGCTTATGCCAATGTATTTCACTCAGAGTACATCATAGCCCATTGCTGACAATGATTCACTTAGGCAGTGATTTGTCCTCTAGGAAACACCTCTCCCTGTTCCTGGCTCTGCTTGGTGCATGCACCCAGGAATTCACTCTCATCCACTTCAGCTCTCTGTGCTGCCCTCTCCCTTACCCTGTCATCTGAAACGTAGCTGCAACACTGATTTTCCTCACTTCTCCTTCAGATTGGGATTAAATCATGCCTGTTCCAGGGAAACACTTCAGCAAAGATGTGTTCCCAGTGGAAAGACCCTACAAAAGGCTCAACTCTTTCCTTCAGGTCCACTTGGATGCAAACAAGCTGATCTGCACTTTGCCAAGTTGCTAGCGACTCATTTGGGTCCATCTTCCCTAAAAAAAGGCGATCAAACAGGGAAAACAATACTAAACTTCTTTTAAAGACTGGCACTTGCAACCTCCAAGCCTCCCTCCATGTCATTATTACTTTGTTTTCTCCTGCAAAGAGAACTATCAGCTCCCACTGGATCAGTGTCCCACACTTCCCTGTCTCCAGGCATACAGAAAAGAACAACAGGCAGTTCCCTTTGCTCTCTGACTGCTTTCACGCTCATGGAGACATGCACAGCCCAGAGAACGTCTCGGCTCCTGCCTTCCCCTCCTGGATGTGCTTTCAGCTGTAAAAAGCCTACACAGAGAGGGGTGGGACTGGCCTGGAGGTCTCTGTGCTGCAGGAGGAGGGTTCCCCATCTCCCATCTGCACAGTGAGGGTGGAGACAGGTTCCCACCTGGCACTGTATTGATTCCATGCGGGAAGCTTGGCTGCCTCACCCCGAGCTGAAGCCTTCCCAGTATTTCAACTGCTGCTGCTAACAGAAGTCACCAAGTGGAACAGCTCTTCCCAGGCAGCAAGTTCCCCATTACCCTCAGCGCTGCTCTGGGCTTGTTCATCCTGTGCTAACTTGCAGGATACTCTGCACTGACGCCTTGTTTCCTCTGTTTGCGAAAGCAGAGAGCTTGCTAATCCCCCTCTGCCCACGTCAGAGTCCTAATGCTCTCCCTGGGCTTCCATCACAACTCCATAATCCTGGCTCAGCCCCAGCTGTAAGCACGGCTCCCTTTGGCTGTACGGAGAATTGCAGTTGGATTTTGGGATGGAGAAGGGCAAGCGTTCCTGTAGGCTCCTCTTAGTGCCCATTTCTACATTACCACATCACCACCAGGCACACTAGTGGTGCCAGGAGCATCTCCAGCAGCACAGGGAGAAGATACATCAGTAAAACATGGTTTAGGGTTGAGAAAAGGGTAGCAGGTGCCACATGTGAGGACTAAGGTGGAGAAACAAGGATCCGTTTCATCTGGCTGTGTCTAAATCAGGTCTGTTAAATTAATTCCCTGGGCACAACTTGATGTCACATTTTCCACTGCCACTTTTTCCCAACACCAGCTTTCCCCTGCACCTCCTTCCATGTCCTGTTTTAAACCCCAGCTTTGAGCACACCATCCCTATTGCCTTCAAACCAGCCCTCCGAGATGCCACACACTGCCCCACAAAACCATAACCCCAGGCTTGTGATGACGCTGAGACCATGAAACCAGCCTTCCTTTGGCAGGGAGCCTGCTCTGTCCTTCACAAGCAGCACTATGCACTGCTACAGCCCCACACAGGTACTGCTTAGGCAAAAGCCTCATCAATATTTCAGGCAGAAGCCTGTAGCTAAAGCAGCAGCATTCAAGACCCTGATCAGATCAATGTCAAACAAAAGGCTGCAGGATGAGGATGCTCCAGCAAGCGAGGCCCAGGCTGCAGGCTGGCAATGTCACCTCTCCTTCCCAACGCTGAGTATCTCTCCTCTGGCCCCAGTGAGCTGGGATGGCTCCAGCACCAGCCCATCCCATGGAGCTGCCCAAAGCAGTTTCCTCTTACAGCAGCATTTTCAGTTTCCAGCTGACTTCAGAAGTGGTGCTGTTACAATCCCCATCACTTGCTTTGAATATTACTTTGCTTTAATGCCAGTCACTTAAGAACCAAACATCTGAGGCTCATACTGTGGGGTCATTGGTTCCAGCATCCCCACTCAGAGCAGATGCTCCAGAGTAGCAAGAAAACCATAATGCACTTAGCTAGTTTGACACTGCATGGGAGCAGGAGATCTTATTTCCCTCAGCTATAAATGTAACTGATCAGAAGATAATCCACAGCCCTTTTGCAGTTCAGCCACGCTCCCGGGCTCCCTGCAAGGCTGAATTCAGCCCTAGCTTCCAAGACATCCATGAACATAAAGAAGTTGCCTCTTTTTAGCCCTCTTGGTTCTCTTGGATCACTTAATTATTATTCAGATGCCAGAGAATGGATGGGAAAATATCATATCAAGATAGAAACCAAAAAGAGAATCATTACATCTAACGGCTAAAATCAGGGATGAAACATCTTACCTGACTTCAAGCAATTCTGTTAAACTACTGTCTCCTTTTCCTATCAATAAAATGGGATAAATTTATGTCCATTCCAGGGAAAATGGAGTGAGTGAGAGATTGAAATCCCTCAGCAAGCACCTACAGAAGGGTAAGAGCAGTCCTAGAGAGAAGCGCTTATTGGCAATACCAGCAAATGAAGCCTTTGCAAGCAATAGTGAGCAGGGGGAATTTGCTGGTTAATGCCATTATGACTCTGGCAGACGTTTTCCCCCTCCCCTTCCTGCTGCCAATTGCACCAAATCACTCCCTGTTTTTCATCTCCCCCCAACAGAAGGGCACTGCATCAAATAACCCAGGAGGATGCTCACACTCACACCCTGGGCTTCAGGATACGGAGAAGGCAGACAAATCCTCCCCTCCAGAGCCAATGTTGAAAATCCATCTGCTCTCCATCCCCAGACAGAGACAGGAGGAATAGATACCAACATCTCCTCCATCCCTAAGGGAGATATATTAGCTGGTTATGTAATAAAACTAACAGCATGGTGCTTCCAAGGACTCCTGTGCCGACAAAGCCCTTCCCCTAATGCCACCGGAGATTAGAGCAAATCGAACAGGAGTGGAAGCAAGGCGAGGGGCTGCGGGTGAGGTTTGCACAGAGGAGATGCTGCAGCATCTGCCTTTAATGCACTCAAAATCCCATCTGATTTCCAACTCTGCTGCTAAAAAAATAGAAAGGGGAAAAAGAAAGGACAAAAGAAACAGCCCAGCCTGCATTAAAATGGTATTAATAGTGGGTGAGTGAGGTGGAGTGACTCAGGAAGGAGTGCTGTTCAGTGGAAGCATCCAGAGGAATCCAGACCATGAAAGCATTTTGGATGCAGACCAAAAGGAGGCAGGGGTGCAGATTTGCTAAAGGACTCTAACGTGCTTGGACAAATCTGATTAGTTGCTGGTTTTGAGCATCCAGGGTCAGATCCTTCCTTCAATAAACACACGTCACTTATTCCCCTCGTGCCGGGCTGCTGGAAAAGCAGAGCACAGCACTTCTCTCTCAGCATCAGATGCATTCCCAGCTCCGAGGACAGGGCTTTCACTTCATTTCTGCTCCCTCTTCAGGCTGGCTGACCCCACAGCAAGAGACATCAAGTTGAACACCCCAAGTAAAATTACTCTTCCCTCCACTTCCCTGGTTTTGCTGCAAATTAAATAGTGATGTTTTAAAATGATCACATTCCCTATGAGACGAGGATTTTGATGCAAGTCAAGCTCGAGGTCTCATCTAGACAGACTCCTGCTTCACATGCAAAGAAGTCATGGCTCTGCTATCCGACTGCACATGCTTGTTCCCCCTTTGACAACTAGAGCTCAAACAGCCCCATCCTCAAGGTGACGTTTCCTTTTAATTTCACACTTTACATCCTTTTTGAGCTTATTTTGATATATTTCCATCCATTTAATCGAAATAACCAGTGAGTTTCATATCTGAACTCGGAAAGAACTTGGTAAAGGCATCAGGCAGAAGTACAGCACAACTGGAGGCAGTGGATGAGCATCTACTAGACACCGTTGTACATTCCAGTATCACCTCTTGAACTTACTGGTTTATCCACTACAAACCTAGTTTGAACAACTGCAAAAGTCACCAGACTTGGCAGAAGAGACATCCAGGTAATAGGTGAAAAATTCTATATAGCATCCCTAGAACTAAGGTATTGACTGTGATGGCAAGATGGAAAACATAGCAGGAGGCAAACAACCTGATGCTGACAGAAGAGGGATGACTTGGAAGGTGTCACCCAAGCAGAAAACCAACAGTTGCTCCAGAGCAGCCATCAAGCACACAAAAATAGCCTTGAGAAAGGAGGGGAATGAATGGGTAATAAAATGTTGGTCATACTCTCTGCCACTTCACAGTGAAGTGTTTTGGAGATGAGTTTAACATGGCACTGACTAGTTGCGTTGGTTGACCAAATCTGGTCCTCCCTGTGGTAGGCACTGTATAGATGCAGCATGGGGAGCAGTTTGCCCCTAAAAACTAAAGCTAAAGAGCAAGCTGGCAGAAGGAGGAAAAGAGCAAAGCCATCAGCATTATGGAAGTTAATAAGAGGTTAGTGCTACCATTTTGTTGTGAGACTGCAAGTCACAACCTAGTTAGTGACCACCTGCAGTGAGGCAGAACTATGTAACTAGCAAAAACTTGGTATTTCAAGTACAAGAAAGGAAAACCCCTAGCTAAGAGGTCATTAAAACCCCAGAGATAGTAAAAGCTTCCCAACAGCCTTACCATTGGCATCTTGGACTCCAGTAAGCGCTCCTACTGCTGCTGCTGTTTCACCAGACAGGACAATTTGTCCTCCCCCTTGAAGAGTGGCTTCAGCAAGCGTGGCTACTGCATGGGCGGCTGCTTCACTGCGGGCACAGGAAAGGAGGAAGAAGGGTTAGAAGAACAAACACAGAAATAACTCCACTCCAATAGCATCCATTTTACCCAGGCAATGTGTAAAGAGAACAAATCCAGAAAGGAGGAACTGGGATAGCCAGGCATTCTCAGGTTGCCCAGAGAAGCTGTGGCTGCCCCATCCCTGGCAGTGTTCAGGGCCAGGTTGGACACAGGGGCTTGGAGCAAGCTGCTCTAGTGGAAGGTGTCCCTGCCTGTGGCAGGGGGCTGGAGCTGGAGGAGCTTTAAGGTTCCTTCTAACCTAAACCATTCTATGATTCTTACTCTGCTCAGATGAAGTTATTCAGAGCAGCAAACCTATAGTAGGGGAGGAATATAAGGGAAGAAGCAGCTTCCACTGGCTTTTTCCAGCTTGCACATCTCTTATGCCAGAACATCCCTGCCTTCTTACCTTCACATCCTTTTACCTGGGACTTCACTAAAGCTTTCAGTCCATCCAAGCAGTTATATATACACCATGTTGCTCCTTCCTGCTTCTGGTTTCTGGTACAAAACTCACCCTTTTGGCACTGCCACATTCCAGGTCTCTATATATTTGAGAGCTCTCCACTTCACTACTGCTTCTGCCAGATGACCTTGCACTGAAACAGGCCTTGAGCTTCACCGGGATCACATCAGCAGCTTTCTACTTAGCTAAGATGGAGCACTTCTCCCCAGCTTAGCACAGTATTGATAAAGTTCTCCATACAAATGAGGTCAGACTTTTAGGAAGGAGTGTGCATGATCCTTCCCTTCCTACACCTTCTCAGCTTCCATCAGTCAGTGGTGTATTGATTTCCTACATCAGAGACTGCATCTGGACCATCAGGTTTGATTTGTTTAATCCTGTTTGAAACCCATTTATACTTTCTACTTCCACAACATCCTGTAGCAATGAGTTCCGCATTTCATTAGATGCTGTGTGAAGAGAAAATGCACCACGGTACTCCAAAAAGCACTGCCTCAATCTGGCTGGGCAGCCTTTAACTCTGAGATTGTGAGAAACAGAGAATAACTGTGCCCTTTCTGTTCTCCTCATGATTTCATAGACTTCCAGTAATCTCTTTCACAAGCTGCAGAGCCACAGTGCACTCCCCGTCCAAGGACTTTCTGGCTTCTGATCCCTTTGCCCTTTCCAGACTTTTTCTAATGTAAGATATCTGTTTGAGGGGGGTGACCATTTCTCACACTATTCAAGATGCAGACAAACTACGTGTTAGTTCTGGTGTCCTCAACATCAGAAGGACATGGAGCTGTTGGAGCAAGTCCAGAGGAGGCCACGAGGATGATCAGGGGCTGGAGCAGCACCCGGATGGAGACAGGCTGAGAACATTGGGGCTGTTCAGCCTGGAGATGAGAAGCTGTGTGGAGACCTCAGAGCAGCTTCCAGTGTCTGAAGGGGGCTACAAGGATGCTGGAGAGGGACTCATCATCAGGGACTGGAGTGATAGGACAAGGGGTGATGGGTTCAAACTGAAACAGGGGAGGTTCAGGCTGGAAATAAGACAGAAGTTCTTCCCTGTGAGGGTGCTGAGGCGCTGGCACAGGGTGCCCAGAGAAGCTGTGGCGGCCCCATCCCTGGCAGTGTTCAGGGCCAGCCTGGACAGAGCCTTGAACAACATGATCTAGTGTGAGGTGTCCCTGCCTGTGGCAGGGGGGTGGAACTGGATGATCTTAAGGTCCTTTCCAACCCAAACCAGCCTGGGATTCTATGATTCTATGAGTTAGTCCAGGGGCCTCATCCCACCTTCTTCTCTATAACTTTCCCTAGAATTCCTATTATTCAGCTTACTCTTTTGACAATACTTATTCATCAGTGACAAAACATTCCTGCAGGATAGTCCCCTGAATGCTTTCTGAATGGTCACTTGCAGCATATAGCTCCTTATTGGAGATACATGTATGTGCATCACTTGCCGTTTATTGACATCACATTTCATTTCCCGTTTAGATGCATCATCAGAGTGCTGTGAGCATCCTTCAGCAGCAATCCAGAATTCTCCAGACCTGTTGGATGACTATTCACCACTTCTGGTGACCTGCTGCTAGCCACAAAGTTATTCCAAAGCCATCATCTCCCTGCAGCTGAATCTCCTACCATTTCTTACCTGAATGAACTAAAAAAGGAGGTGTTTTCTTTAGCTTCCCCTAGGATGCTCTTCCTTAACTCATTCCCTGGTAGACCAATTGACTCAAATATTTTCCAAGTACTTCCCACTCTTTTTCCCCTGGTTTCCTGCTTAGATGCTGTTCACATTCTAAGTGTATTCGCTCAGGGTGTATTTTCATTTCTGTCTCTCACAGTAGCTCTTACACACTGTTAGTGAACCGGAATATTTTCTTGCTCTGCTTTCTTACTCCCTTTGGATAATCTCCCTACTGAACCTGCAGCTGTATGAAGGCATTTACACTGCAGGAAGTCCAACCCCAGCACAGCAACTCTGGGGTAAGCATGCATTTACTGGTGGAACCCTGTTTCCCAGACCCACAGCACTTAGCTGAATCCACCTGCAAGGACAACTGAGCACTTTAATCATCTGGTACAGCTGCATCCCTGGAAATAATAATGATGTGCAGCATAAAAGCTTTTTCCAGTCAGTGTGTTCTACAGACATTAACTGGTTCAAATCAATGATTTAATTACCCACCTCAACTCTGTCCTCTTTACTAGAAGGCCTGATACTTCCCATCCTCAAAGCTGACAGAGGTCGCATCATCCATCATGTCGTGCTGCTGGTAGACGTACTGCTCTGTGTGGGGCCGTGAAAGACTACACTCTATCAGCAGCCAATAGAACAAGGTTCAGAGATCACAGAATCATAGAATCAACTGGGTTGGAAAAGACCTTTAAGATCATCAAGTCCAACCATTACCCAGCACTGCCAAGGCCACCACTAAACCATGTCACTGAGGGCCTCATCTACATGATGGCAGCTTTCAGCTAAATTAGGCATAAAGTTTCCAGAGCTGGGATGAGCCACCAGCTTTCCAAGACCAGAACCTTGCTGAGACCTTCCTATAGGCAGGGGAAAGACTCCAGTTCCACAGCTGGAAGCAACAAGGAGCATTTTGTGGCAAAGGTACATCTCATCCACATGGAAGGGTGTTGGAGGACAGTCACCTAGAAAGGTCTCCAGTACTTATGGTCAGTAGATAAAGAGGGTGACAACAAGCTAGCAAATTTAAACAGGACAAGCCAAGGGGAATGGCTTTAACCTGCCAGAGGGGAGACTGAGATGAGCTCTTAGGCAGAAGCTCTTCCCCGTGAGGGTGCTGAGGCGCTGGCACAGGGTGCCCAGAGAAGCTGTGGCTGCTCCATCCCTGGCAGTGTTCAAGGCCAGGTTGGACACAGGGGCTTGGAGCAAGCTGCTCTAGTGGAAGGTGTCCCTGCCCGTGGCAGGGGTTGGGACTGGATGAGCTTTAAGCTCCCTCCAACACAAACCAACCTGTGATTCTGTGATTCCCACTGCAGTGCTGCTACAACCTTTACATCACTCCTGAACTTCAGGCTGTTTGACCAGACTTGTCACAGAGCTTTTCTGGGTATAATGAAAGCTGATCCTGTCTTGAGGCACAGGAGAGATTAAATGAGTTGTTGAAGGCTTTTCCAGTCATATTTTCTAGGAGGCTCTTCTTAATTCTAACAACTTTTATTTTTCTTAATGATTCTGAATTTCTTCAGCTATTACTAGTGGAAGATCCTTGCCCATGGCAGGGTGCGGTGGACTAGGGCATCTTTAAGGTCCCTTCCAACCCAAACCATCCTCTGATTCTATAATGCAGGAAAAGGAAGAGCTCATTGAGACCTTAAGAGCTAAAACTATGAGCGATGGGATGAAATGAAAGTCACATTCCAGAAGACGTGGCTTTTCTTGCAACTCCATACCTAGTTACTTCAGCTGTTGTTCTTAGTGTCCTAAAAAGATCACTTGTTTTAAAAGGCAATTTTACAGTGAAGCTATTAGTAAAAAAGCCCATTTAACCAACCTTGCATTGTAGTGCAGAAAAAAACATATCTGATGGACCTGAATCTGGACCACAAACAGAAGGAACAGTTCTAGGTGTGTTTGTGATTCAGTGGCAACAGCAGTTTGGAAGCAAGCTGTTGAAAGTCCCAGAGTGGCTCCTTTAGCAATCTGTGTATCTCACAAGGTCCTGGAGCTTTACTCCAAGAATCAATGTGGACTTGGGCCTTCTCCTAACCCATGGCTGCTCAGTCAACAGTGCCTAGACAAGAATCTTGATTTGGATGAGGAAAATACTTTATCTACACTTCAATGTGAAACCTCCCACGCTGCTGGGGCTGATGCTGTGTTTCCTGCGGTCCTCCTGCTCTCTCAGGGTGATCTGTGGCATGCCACGCAGCAGGCAAAGCTTAAGCAACTCACCAGAGCTGAGCACAGACACTGCTTCCTGCTGCATGGACTGTCGAGAACTATGCTGCAGACCTTGTACAACCAAAACTCTAACAGAGCTTGTTCCAAGATGAAGCAGCAGCATTACTACTGCAGCTTGTTCACCTTCCACTTCAGAAACACACCTGGGAGAAACCCCCAAACCACTGTCCTCTGGAGGAGGTTCTGATTTCTGAAGAGAGTCCATAGTGTCACACAACAGAGCAATTCAGCCTTAGCCTTTAGTAGGAACCATTAATAATACTGAGGGAGACCCAGAAAAACATAGTTCAGGTGCTGTTAGCACTTCATGACTCTTGCTTGCTTAGCAAACTCAGTTCTGTAACTGGACTCTTGATGTATGACTAAGTTTAGAGGATAAAGTTACTAGCCATCTTTTCCTATGCCAGGAAATTTCCATGTTAGTAGTGTTCTGTGGTTACAACAGAAATCAGGAACTGTCTTGCAGACACCTGGACACTCACTGCCATAGGAATTTGCTAAGGAAAAGGGACACATTGGTCTTTGCACCATTAGAGTGAAAGCCTAGAAGGAAGTGTCATGCACGTGTGATTCTCAGCCATACCTGTTGAGTGCCATGGTAACAGTTGCTCCTTGTTGCATCTCCTGAGATGCTGCCACTGCTGCTTCCGCTAATGATGCCACCGCCTGCGTGGCCTCTGATGCCTGCGTCGTCTGGATCGTCATCTCACCCCCCTGTAGCGTGGCCCAGTTCTGCTCCACCTAAGGGGAAACCAAAAAGAGAGGCCCTAAGATTGGATTCACGCCATGAGCAAATGGCTGTGCCCTAAAGTGAAAGAGCCAGATAGTTTCAAGAGGTCTTTGCAGAATCCTGCACATGCTCTGACTTTGAGAGACAGGTAAAAGAAGGAGGAAGTTGGGATCCACCTGAGAACATCGCTGGGCACTACAGCCCTCAGCCCCCTCAGCCATGATAGCAAGTTTCTATAGATAGCCCATGATTTTAGTTTCTGCCCTCCATATGTCCAACAACAACTTTAAACATATGTTCAAACAAGAACTCTGCTTTTCTCGCACACATGGAAAGCACACCCCATAAACATCAGTGCAGCCCCTCACATCCCACAGACCCCTCTTATCCAGCCAAGTCCACAACAAAATGGGACAGCATTGACCACTGCTGTACTCCGATCACTGCCTGCCAGCCTGGGCACTTCAAGCAGTAACATGCCGTGCTGGAATTCCAGCATGGATCATGTCCCACAGGAATGCACTTGCCTCACTGCTCCCATCCACTGTCATTCTGGGGAACAGTTCCTGTTCCCATTCAGGGTTTATCTGTACAGCAGTTGTGAACTCAGATGAGTTTGAGCCATACAGAATTTCTTTGTGCTGCAGCAATATACTTAATGAAAGAAGATGGCAGATGGGAAGTGCTCTGTTCATATATCTCAGGTACTTTCAATTCCCCTATCTCAAACCTTGATGTAGACAGTTACACATTACTTAAAGGTTCACTCAGTCTCAGTTGCTCATTTGCCCACATTTCTCCATTTGGGACTTGACAGCTCATGAGATAATGAATGTATGGCCCCAAAATCCACCACAATGTGAACGAGAAATACACACTGGACCAAGACAATTAAAGAAGTGGAGGATGAAGGTCCATCAGCTGACAAATCATCCTGCCTGCTTTGTAAGATGATCTTCCCCCACCCTCCCATCACTGTTCTCAGCCCCATAAATGGCTCAGGCTACTCACCATCCTGCTGAGACACACAAATAAGAATGCCACAGAAGGTGATGAAAAAATAAACCCCAAACTCAACTTGTTCAGATGGAGAAAGCTAAAAAGTCCATAGAGGCAGAGCTGGCTTAAGGCTCGAGTAAATCTTGCTGCCTTTGGGCAAGAGAAGGGTTAGTCCCATCAGAAGATGGAGAGGGAGAGAGAACCTGTCGTGCTCTCACTCACATCTGCTATCACACACTCCTCAGCAGCTGCCAGTCTGGTTTTCCAGCACTTGGGCAGAAGCAAAGCTGGCGCTCGTCGAAGCTCTTTGGCCATCCCCAGCCGTCTGACGTTCAAGGCAACTGCTTCATTCTCCTGTGCCCAGAGCTGGCCCTGGGCGGAAGGATCCAAAGCAGGGAGGAAGCAGTGAGATAGTGCATTGCAAAAAAGGAGAAAGGCAGCTGATTTTAGAGAGGGCAACGTCTTTTAGGAGAGATGCAACCTAGCTGGAGTGCCCAGAGAGGAAGAACTGCAGGTGGTGAAGAACTCAAGACTTGAGTCAGATTGAGTTTGTGGTACTCATTAGCCATGCCAAAACCAAAGGGAAGTGAGCCCAAGATGGAAAAAGATACCCTTCCCACCGCCATGCACAAGAGGAACAGACATACATATTCTCAATACATGGCAACACAAATTTGTATAATAAAGCAGATCTCCACTGTGACAAACCGTCCCCTGCAAAGATGCCTAAGCTGCTTTGGGAGGGAGTAAGGCCTGGAAAAGAAGCGGGGACTGTCCAGGCCCTTCTCCATACTAACACAAAGGTTGTGCTGCTGAGATATCAGTCAGCACCCCTGCTCCATGCTGCTTAGTGTCCTATAAACTCAGGGATTTACGCTGAGTTTCTTCATATGGCAAGAGACAGCAGGACAAAAACGCCTCTGGAGAGGCTGCCAGCAGGCTGTGGGTCTATCTCTGCAGAGAAATAGCACCCATCCCCAGAGCAAACTTACTGTTGCATCTTTATTTTGGCCAAGATATCCCTTAGATGTCCTGTTCACGTTAGGAATTGGATGCCTGGGTTGCTCTGATTCTTATTTGTGCCTTTTAAAACTTTCTTTCAGATCTGAAGAGAAAAAACTGGTCCTTGAAAACCACCAAAGCAGCTGCAAAATGCTGCAAAATCACAGCCCCAGAACCAAGCTTTCACTGGGGGGCTGAGGTGGAAGCAGACGCTGGAGCAGAGCAAAGCTGTTCTGTGCTGCCACCTGTCGCCATGAAAACCCATCCATGAGAGAGGACCAGACCTCACCGTCCAGCCAGGAATTCTGCTGTGCAGCCAAGGGACAGAAAGTGACCTGATGTAAAGAGGGGTTTGCAGGTAAAGAGGGTAAAATATAATAATAATCATCATCATCATAATCACAGAATCCCAGACTGGTTTGGGTTGGAAGGGACCTTAAAGCTCATCCAGCTCCAACCCCTGCCACGGGCAGGGACACCTTCCACTAGAGCAGCTTGCTCCAAGCCCCTGTGTCCAACCTGGCCTTGAACACTGCCAGGGATGGGGCAGCCACAGCTTCTCTGGGCACCCTGTGCCAGCGCCTCAGCACCCTCACAGGGAAGAGCTTTTGCCTAAGAGCTCATCTCAGTCTCCCCTCTGGCAGGTTAAAGCCATTCCCCTTGGCCTGTCCCTACAGGCCCTTGTCCAAAGCCCCTCTCCAGCTTTCCTGGAGCCCCTGTAGGCACTGGGAGCTGCCTCTTAAAGAAATGTTTCTTAAACACAGAAAAATACTTTATTAAAAAAAAAAGTGAAAACATAAATGCATGCAAATTTAGGAATCACAATGAGGATCAAGTCCTTGACAGAAACAAGTCTGCCAAGTTGTAAAGCAGTGGAAGAAACTCTCCCAGTACACAGAACAGTAACTGAACCGTATCTCCTGTTGTCTCTGCACTACTCACATTTACACAGCCCTCTCCAGGATTTCCCTGCAAACCTCCCTAAAGCTGCAGCAAGGGAAGAGTCCCATTTTATCCAGAGATCAGTGGCCAAAGATGCATAGGGACTGCCCACAACCAGGCCATATCCTTTGTTAACCACAGCCTCAGAATATCCCAGGCATCACTCCCAACCCTGATCTGACAAACAAGGATGTACAGCACACATGGAAGAAGAGCTATTCAAGATGAATACATGGATGTGTGTTTGTGCATGTCATTAAGCCTATCTGCTACAGCAGAGCTCACAAATTGTATCATCTATAGAAGATATATATAAAAATGTATAAAATTCAGAACTGAGGCTTGCACCATAGCTGCATTTGTACAGTCCTGACTCCAAGGGACCACAGTCCAGCTCTTTAACAGTCCCGTGTTTGTTAACACTGCAGGATGGGGAAGCAAGGTTTGGTGCTTTCTGCGACCCCTGAATTCCAGGAAATACTTCACTTCCCTGAAGTTCAAAGAGGGTAATTCTGTTTTGTGCCCCACAGACACAAGCCAGGTCCTTACCTCTCCATCAGCCACTGCAGAGTAATTCACTTGTGCGACGGTGACTGTGGTGGGCAGCTCTGAGGCATCAGCCAGCGTGGCAACTGTGGCACCGGTGCCAACCTATGGGAGTCAACAAAAGGCAGCGAATACATTTGTTATTGAAGGAAAATGTCCACATGATTCAGGCAAAGGGACACTCAAATGTTCTCAGATTCAAAAGCATCACATCTACAGGGAGTATGATCTGAGTAATAATTGCAGAGCTCATGGAAAATATGGGGTTGTCTCAAAGGGCTGGGGGAGGAAATCATGGAATGGTTTGGGTTGGAAAGGACCTCAAGATCATCCAGTTCCAACCCCCTGCCACGGGCAGGGACACCTTCCACTAGAGCAGCTTGCTCCAAGCCCCTGTGTCCAACCTGGCCTTGAACACTGCCAGGGATGGAGCAGCCACAGCTTCTCTGGGCACCCTGTGCCAGCGCCTCAGCACCCTCACAGGGAAGAACTTTCCCTTATCTCCAACCCAAACTTCCCCTGTTTCAGTTTGAACCCATCACCCCTTGTCCTATCACTACAGTCCCTGATGAAGAGTCCCTCTCCAGCATCCTTGTAGATACGGGAAGCTGCTCTGAGGTCTCCACGCAGCTTCTCTTCTCCAGGCTCAACAGCCCCAACTTTCTCAGCCTGTCTCCATACAGGAGGTGCTCCAGCCCCTGATCATCCTCGTGGCCTCCTCTGGACTTGCTCCAACAGTTCCATGTCCTTCTTATGCTGAGGACACCAGCACAGCACACAGTGCTGCAAGTGGGGTCTCCCTGGATTGCATCAGAGGGGCAGGCTGCTGCTCATGCTCTGGTGGTGCAGCTCAGCATACAGGGGGGTCTGGGTTTAAGTGCACACTGAAGCCAGGTCATGGGGAGCTTCTCACCCAACACCACAAGTGCTTCTCTGTCCAACCTGTAGCTGTGCTTGGAATTGCCCCCACCCAGGTGGAGGAATCACTGGAGCCATGCTAATCTATAGCAGTTGCACAGTGGATATGGCCCACAAGCAAGTTTCGCACAGCCCTTGTGCTGTCCCCTATGCTTATGTAGGAGACAAATCCTCACTATTCTCCCATTCTCCTTCTTACAGGGACCAGCAATAGGACACTGCTGTCATTCCCAGGTGTGAACATGCTGCGGTGGTGGAGACAGGATGCTTCTCCTATGGAGTGGGAGTTACTTAAACCACTGAGTAGTCCTGGCTCAGAACACCCTGCACATCAGCCCTCATTTATAACTCTCCTTGCTTACCATACACTGGGTCTCTCATCTCCAGGCACTTGTCAAACATTAGTACACGCTCAATACCCCACTGCCTTTGGAAATTACCTTTTTCCCCATTTAACAGCTGGGAAAGGACAAAGGCAGGGAGGTGTAGCTTTGTTTCTAAGGAGAACTAAACCTATAAATGCCAGAAATTCAATGGTTTCAGGTGCCCAGCATCTAAAAGAACACCAGTCAAAGGGAAAACATGTGTTAGCAGGTGAGCAAACAGAACCAGCTTGGCAAGTCTGCCTGGCCTTGGTGGGAGAACAGAAAGCTTAAGAACTGCTGACAAGCTTTCATTTGAGAAAACAAACAAGACCAAAACAAAGCCCCACACCATGGGTTTTATCTTCAGGGTTGTGAGAAGAGACCTTTAGACATCACTAAAACCATGATGCTCAAGAGGGACAGAGTGCTGGGACAGCTGGGTACCAGAGGGTAGTGGTGGTTTGTAGGCAGGGGCACAGGGGGAGCTGAGGTTCAAATCTGACATCCACAAGGGGCTCTTGGGAGGTTTCAAGGGAGTACTTCAGTTTTTAACACCCTAAGCAGCCAGAACCTGCCTCCCCACACTGGGGACACTGGGAAAACAGTAGCACCACTGAGCCCCTGCCTGAACGCAGTCTCTTCAGCCCTGAATCCCCTTCTCTAAAATGGTTTAAGAGGCATCTTTACCACAGAGGATCATAGAATCATAGAAATAAGAATCCTAAGACAAATATATATTCAGTGTGTGTAATATATATATTATTATACTTTAGGTGTAAGATGAGGATCAGAGGGTACAGAAATACTTAATAACAGATTAAGCTGTTTCATGCCATTAAAGAAAGGCAGTCCCACCACCTCTCCTCCCATCACCCCCTCCCACTGCCAGCACAGGCCTTGTGTGGCCACATCATGAATTGTGTTTGTTCATAAATGAGTTAATTAAACTCAGGTCAACTCCCTGAATCACTTGCCCAAATAGCTGCAGGAATCCTTGTGCTGCTGTAAGAGAAGACCAAGAGATGGGAATGGGGAAGAGAGGATGAGGCTGCTGCTTTGGGTGGGAGTACTGGTTTAACAAGCCTGAGGGCTGAGACATACAGATAAAGACAACAATCTTGAAGGACAAATTAAGCTACCAAAAAGAGTTTGCTCCAAACCACCTACCTGATGCAGACAACTCAATTCAGTTGTGTTGGAAATGGCAAAACCAGAGGGTTTCACTCACCTGGATGAGGGACACGGTGCCATCAGGGTTACTGAAGGTTTGTACCACTGTCTGTGATGGCACAAGGTGTGCTATACTATGTGTGGTCGTCGTCTGCTGCTGTGTCTGCTGATCCTCAAAGGCATAGAGCAGGTCCTCGCGCCCGTGCTGCTTGTAGCAGTTCTTCACGATCGTCCGTAGTGCCTGGGTCCATGATACCTGCCAGGAGAGTGAGAGAGTGAAGAGACCGTGTAAGAAAGCTTTCTGAGGCACTGCAGGGCTGTTACGGCCATGACCTGTGTGCTTATCATAGAATCAACCAGGGTGAAAAAGACTTAAGATCAAGTCCAACCACTCCCCAGCACTGTCAAGGCCACCACTAACCCATGGCACTGAGGCCTCGTCTCCACAGTGTGTGAACACTTGCAGGGACGGTGACTGCAGCCCTGCCCTGGGCAGCCTGTTCCAATGCCTGAGCACCCTCTGGGGAAGGAATTGTTCCTCAGCTCCATCTAAACCTGCCCTGGTGCAGCTTGAGGCTATTTCCTCTTGTCCCATCCCTTGTTCCTTGGGAGCAGAGCCCAGCCCCTCCTGGCTCCATCCTCCTCTCAGGCAGTTGTAGGGAGCGATCAGGTCCCCCCTGAGCCTTCTCTTCTCCAGACTGAACCCCCCAGGTCCCTCAGCCCCTCCCCATCACACTTGTGCTCCAGGCCCTGCACCAGCTCCGTTGCCCTTCTCTGGCCCCACTCCAGCACCTCAATGTCTCTCTTGCAGTGAGGGGCCCAGAGCTGAACACAGGATTCAAGGTGCAGCCTCACCAGTGCCCAGTGCAGGGGCACAGTCACTGCCCTGGCCCTGCTGCCGCACTGGTGCTGGTACAGGCCAGGATACTGGTGGCTTCCTGGCTGCCAGGGCACAAGCTGCTCACGTTCAGCTCCATCATTCAGCACCCCTAGGTCCTTTTCCACCAAGCAGTTTTCCAGCCACTCTTCTCCAAGCCTGGAGCAACAGGCTGCAGATGAACACCTACTGGGTTTTCTCGGGCCATTTTCAACAAATTCTCTAACAAAACGCCCCAATACCTAATCCCTCTCATCCCCTCCTTTCCCCAGGGTTCGGAAATCACCCTGGAGAGCTCTTGTGTTGCTGTGTAATGATACAGAACAAGCACATCTGGCTAAGGGAAAGGGAAGCTTTGCAAAGAAATGTCTCACCAGCTTTCAAGGAATTCTAACCAAGGTACTGGGACTGAGAAGTAGAAAATCATCTCTACTTAGAAAAGCACTGACTGCCACAGCACCATTTCCAGCCTCACCAGGCATCCCTCCCCATCCAAGCAGACCTATATTAACAAATCATTGAATCACAAGTTGGTTTGGCTTAGATGAGCTTCAACGTCCCTTCCAACCCAGACCATTCTGTGATCCTATGAAAGGCCAATGTCGTAGCTTCTTCTGTCACTCGAGGGGAGAAGTATTCCCACACAACCTGGTTCCAAGCCTCTGTGCTCCATTTGAAGGCAGCAGATGTGGCAGATACACACCCGCTGCTTCTGTTCCTCTGTGCGGACATCGCTGCGGACGTTGGCCCATGGGATGTCCTCAGGCCACCAGATGGGTTTGCAGCTTTCCTTGCCCCAGCCTGGTTTCCCACGACCTGTGGAATACTTCAGCATCTCAGGGATGAAAGCTCGTAGCTGTGCCTGGAACAAAGTGTAAAAGAGTGTTGAGAGGGTGTTTTTAGGAACTCGTATCTCTGGTAGGCTTAAGGTGCATAGAGAAAGTTATTACATTTAACTTCCAGCCTGTTGGAACCATCAACTGGAAAGAGGCCTGAATGCCTAAAGAACATGGACAAATACTTTACCATCTTCTCCCAAGACTCAGCTGAGAACAGCTTAGAGCAGAAACACAATTAAATCAGCCAAATACGATACGGCACAAACACAAACTGCATGAGCACAGTTCATGGGGCAAACACTACCATGAAGAGACCTTGCCAACCTGAAAGGGAGGGGAAAAATGTAAATCCAAATAACACAGAGAAAAACCCACACTTGATATCCCCACAGTAACAGGAACTCAGAGTTGAGCTGATGGGCGTCTTACAGAGATGCTGCAATGGTGGTGGAGCTTTGGGGAGCCACTAAAAACCAGCCTCACACATAACTTCTCCACCCCTGCAGAACATAATGCACACTGGATTGACTTTCTGCATCTATTTGTAACCATTCCGGAGTGGGGACACTTTTCAACCTGATTTTGCTTCTCTTTAGCACCCACAAAAACTGCTCAACTAGTGACCACCTGCACCAGCAGGAGACAATACCTTAAAATAGATGCGCAAAGCAAATCGTGAAGAGCAAGTAATATCCTCAGTGTTATCAAAGAGAACATGAAGCTCACACAGGGGTTTATGAGACAGGGGGGTTTGTACCAGGGAATGCCAGGACAAGGCTGGTTCAGCTGCAGAACAGAGCAGGAAGACAAGGAGCACTCAAGACCAAATCATAGCATCAGCTATGTTGGGAAAACCTTTAAGATCATCAAATCCAAATACAGAGAAAACTATGTTGACTTAAAGCTGAATAGCTGCATTTAAGAACATCCCCCTGCATCTCTTCATGGCTTTAATAGCAAATTACTTGAACTGGTGATGGTGGCACTGGGAGTTCTCAGGCCACCTTACAACCTGGAGCTGCCTGCATGTTCATGGCTCTGGAGCACAGCCATGCATGAGCACACCAGGGCCAGCATCAGTTGCTGCCACAGCCATGACATGGTCCCAGCCAGCAGAGACATGGGACAGCTCATGGAGGACTTCTCACCCATCCCTGATCTTCTGCCATAAGAGTGTCCCTTCCTCCCAGCCACAATCATGCTTGAATGACATCCTGGTTCCAGTCTGGATATTGCAACCACTGGCTTCAAGCTGAAAATCAACTCATGTACAAACTGCCTTTTCATGTTAGTACAGGAGGCATGTACAAAGTCCCCTGTAACATCAGTCTGACAGAGGAATGCTCCAGAGGAACAGGAAACTGCAGATTGTCCCTGGGGTCTCTGCAAAGAAGGACAATAGGGCAATAAAAGGACATTAAAGGCAATAAAAATCCAGTGTGCTTCTGGATCCATATGTAGCATATGTGCTGCTCACCATAGAAGAATCACCCCTGCTCAGCAGCTATATTTTATTCCTACTTAATGGACATGATGAACCATCTCACAGAAGCCATACCAAAACCCTGAATTATAAATGGAAGCACAAAAAAGCCCATTTTGGTGCCCATTTGCCCAGTCCAGTCCAAACCTACCCATGGTGCACTTTCCACTGCAGGGCCAACAGTCATAGAATCCCAGAATCCCAGACTGGTTTGTGTTGGAAGGGACCTTAAAGCTCCTCCAGCTCCAACCCCTGCCACAGGCAGGGACACCTTCCACTAGAGCAGCTTGCTCCAAGCCCCTGTGTCCAACCTGGCCTTGAACACTGCCAGGGATGGGGCAGCCACAGCTTCTCTGGGCACCCTGTGCCAGCGCCTCAGCACCCTCACAGGGAAGAGCTTCTGCCTAAGAGCTCATCTCAGTCTCCCCTCTGGCAGGTTAAAGCCATTCCCCTTGGCCTGGCCCTACAGGCCCTTGTCCAAAGCCCCTCTCCAGCTTTCCTGCAGCCCCTTTAGGCACTGGAGCTGCTCTAAGGTCTCCCCTTCAGGAGCCTTCTCTTCTCCAGGCTGACCCAGCCCAGCTCTCTCAGCCTGGCTCCAGAGCAGAGCTGCTCCAGCCCTCGCAGCATCTCCGTGGCCTCCTCTGCACTCACTCCAACAGCTCCACGTCCCTCTTGTGCTGCTGCCCCAGAGCTGGATCAGGACTGCAGGGGGGGGTCACCTGAGGTTCCCTGGTTGAGGCCCCATTATCCATACGACCCTGCTCCTGGCACTGAGTTTTCTGGTGCAAAAATAGTTAAAACCTCCTTCCCTGGATCACTGTGTGCAAGCCACGCTCCTTGTTACCAGCTGGATTAATCACTGGTCCCAGGGAGTTGAGCAGCTCAAGCTACTCAAGGCACTTGTTAAGGAGGACTTGCCACTAATCCACCAGGGAGACAATCAGCAGCAGCATCACAGCCTGCTCCAGCACCAGCATTTCTCTAATTAGGGCTCTAACAAAATCTCACCCTCACAGGGCTCTGACACAGGGAATGGCACAAGGACAAAGACCACACATCCCTCAGGACACAGCGGGAGGAACTGCTGTGACCAGGAACCACGGTTCTGCTGACTCCATCTATGAACCACCCCAAAATCAAATCTCTGCTAAGAAAAGACAGCAGCACATTCCACTTCCCACAGCTGGCAGCTCTGGAAAGGGCCCGTATAATCGCCAGTATGGATGGTTTGAGAGAAGCTATAAGCACTGATTCTTTCTCACCCTTTGGTACACAGACTGAATATCTCCTAAATTCTAACATCAAGCTCAAGTGTTACTGGTAATGAGCTAATCCTGATTCTACCATTTGCACTAGCCCAAACTGCACTCCAGTGCTGGAAACAAGTTGTCCTGCACTCAGAGCGTCAAGCAATCCTCTGGTCTCAAGGTTTATGCCCTGCTACGGGAAGTGGTTTCTAGAAGGGAGCAAAACCTGTGGCTGTAGATTTGTTACCTTTGCCCATAGCTCAGCCTCAGGATCTCCAAAAAGCAGCACATGGGAAAAGCAAAGTCCAGTCCACGTGGGAAGAGGAAAGTGGAAGAGGTCAAAGCAGCAGTTACAGCAAAGCACCAAGGTATTTCCTTCATGGTCCCCTTTTTTTGCAACAGCCAATTTGAGACTAAATGTTAAGCTGAAAAATTCCAATTAATGTTTAAACACTCAGATTAAAAATCCAGGCTTCTGTTAAGGTGGCTGTCACCAGGAATTTCCTGCTATGAGAACCCACATGGCCCTGATGGAACTCAGAGGTCTCACTGGTGGGATGAGGATGATCTCCCCATCATAAATTCATTCCAGCAAAGATAAGGTGCAGGATCAGCCTGCGTGACTTTAATCAGAAGCAATGGCACTCAGCAGAACAGTTTATGCCTGGCCATAGGAATCAAACCCAATATTAATACCCTGGTCACCAGTACAAAAGCAGGAGGTGCTGTGGGGCTCCCCATAGACATGTCTGCTCACAGCTTCACTCTCTATGCAAATCTTTCTTCTCTTCCACTCCAAAACCATGATCAGGCTGTTAGAATGAGACCACCTGAAATGTTTCAGAGGGGCATGCTTGGGGACCAGGCTGTGGGATCACCACCTCCTAGTAGAGTTTGGAGGTATGAACCTGGACATGACTGGTCTTGCTGGAAACAAGGCATGATGCAGACTGAGCTTAAATGCTGTAAGAGCAGGCAGCTGCCTGCATGAGAGTCCAAAGTACACACTCATCCCTGCTTCCAGGACCTTGCAGGACTCACTGCTCTTTCCACTGCTGGAACAACCATCCAGTGCTGGAGCTCAGCTGTGCGGCAAACCTGATTCCTAACTCTGGGTGCCTCCACTGCAAAACAAGGATGCTCCTTCTGCCACATGCCAATGCCCTGCCGGGAGAGTGGAAACAGAGGCTGTTCTCACACCACACCTCTGATGTGGAGCAGAAGGGAGCACCAGTAAGCCTCATGCCTGGGCAATGGGTCCAGCACTGCAGGATCATCCCTGCCCCACCATAGAGAGAATCTGATAGCCACAGACCAAGTTGCCACCTTTCAATGCTTGGCTTCTCCTAAATACAAACTGCCACGTACATAAAGACATATGCTGGGTTTTGCAGGTTTTTGCAGTCCATATGCAAACAGACATCAAGATGATTTCTGAGAGGCCTGGATAAACTTTGTTGGCCTATATAAGCAGACTGCAAGTAATAGGGGCATATTAAGTCTATAAAACATCAGATTAAAGCAACAATCACCTGTTCAGAATACAAATCCTAGTGAATTTCAATCCAGATAGTGACCTCAGGGAAGCATTAATCTCAGCATTACCCAGACTTTCTCCTTAGTTATATTAGTGAGCAACTCAGAACAAGTTTAGGGGCAAACTCAGCTCTGACATAGAATGTCAATGTGGCCAAAGCCCATAAAGCAACAAGATTTCTCTGCAGTGTAAAACCCCATTGCAATACATTGGTTTTGATGCACAACCAAGGTGGGTGATTCTCTCCACTCACAATATAGAAGCATCTTTGCTCCGGCTACCAAAGGCTTTATTTTCCTCAAGACCTCCAGGGAAGCAGAGCAATTAGAAGAGTTATTTTCCTCTCCTCACTGAGGAGGTAACACCTCTACCACCTGCAGCTCCTGTAAGCAGAGGCCTCATGTTTCCACTCCCTGTGACACAGCTCCTAATTGTGCTGCCCAATTTATATCTATACACATTTCAGTTTTCCATTGGGTTTGTGGGTTGAAAAAGCTCCTTCCTTGTTACAAAAGACAAAGAAACTATAGTGGCAGCTCTGGGAATCAAGGTGCCTCCAAAAACCTAATGGCACCTCTAGCAGTGCAACAGGTTGCAGTGATGTAGGAGTCAGAGTTCTTCTCTTACACTTGTTCAAATGAACGTATCTCAAATTGCAGTTGTGGCAAAAAAAGCAGACAGCATCATGTCCTCATTGTATTCAGCACATCTGTGCTTTGCTCTATTCAAAGATTCTCCCCAAGTCTGTCAAAACTAAGCAGCTGGATGCTTTCAGCAGCAAAATCATCTCCAAGCACCACATGCAGCATCTTACTCCTTGATGTAATCCACGCAGGAGTCTGCAGTCCTGAGCGTTAATTCTAATGCTGTGTCCTCAAGTGGCCTGCAGCCATTTAAGGACCTCAAAAAACATTAAAGACATTTACAAAGCAGCATCTCTCTATGATAAGTGGGGAAACTGAGGCACTGGGTGCCCACAACACGTGCACATCACAGTGGCTGGGCTGAGGCAGTGACAGCTACCCAAATGGGACACAAAGAGCATGGACCCTGTCCACAGCTCAGGAGAAACCTTAACAAAGCTGCTTGGAGTTACCACGTTGTAACAAAAAGGTGAGGACTACTCCTGAAAAGATAACTTGGGTTGCCATAATGCAGCATGGGATGGCTTGAAATAAGAGGCTCTACATTGCTGTTGCTTCAGCAGTTTGCATGCTTGCTGACCAAAGGGCATGCAGAGCACGGAGAAGAAAAGACATTCCTTGTTTAACAGAGGCACAAGAAGGCTGACAACACAGGAGTGTTGTGTGTAAGGGTGGGGGGGGAAAGCCCTGCCAGCAGCTTGTGCCTTGGACTGGAGAGCTGCTTCACATGTGGAAAGGCAGAGCAGTCAAAACCCAAGGGCAGCTTGGCTTGGCCAGATCTCTGTGTAAGGCTTCCTGAAGACCAAGGCCATGTTATGCTTGCAGGAAAATATCCCAGGGACTCTTCATCAGGGCCTGTAGCAATAGGACAAGGGGTGATGGGTTCAAACTGAAACAGGGGAAGTTCAGGTTGGAGATAAGGAAGAAGCTCTTCCCTGTGAGGGAGCTGAGGTGCTGGCACAGGGTGCCCAGAGAAGTGGTAAATGCTCCATCCCTGGCAGTGTTCAAGGCCAGGCTGGACAAAGCCTTGGGTGACATGGTTCAGTGTGAGGCATCCCTGCCCGTGGCAGGGGGTTGGAACTGGATGATCTTAAGGTCCTTTCCAACCCAAACCATTCTGTGCTTCTATCTCCAGCCTTATTTTTAGCTTAACATGAAAAGTATTAGTATTTTACCCATGGAATTCTATGGATACTAGTATTTTATCCATAAAATGGAAGCAGAAAACACTTCAGCAACCTTTGATGTTAAAATAGTTAATATCCAAGTCTATCACAAAAACCAAACACCATGCACTATAAATCCAGCTGAAGGCTCCTGTGAAGTGAGAGTTTGTCACTTTTATTGCTGCTTTCATGGCACGTGCAACACGAGCAGCCAAACATTTGATAGATCTTTTTATTGGCCCTTTTATACGCACACACATTCTGCACAGGGCAAACCAGAGAAGTTTCTCAGATGTGTTCCTGGATTGCAACCACCCCACGTCCTGCTCTCATTCCTCCACACTCCTCTCTCATTTCCAGCACTCCACCAGCATCAGCTCATTGTCTTTGTGCCTTCCTCTGAGCCCATAAGCTGTGGGTATGGGTACCTCCAGCTTCACTACTCACATCACCCTAGGATAGCCTTCAGCAAATCTCCACATAGATGTCTCCTTCTCCTTGCTTTAAGCCATAAGCACTTCTGCTGTTACTGAGCTTAATTACTACAATGATAAGGCCATAAAGAAGTTAGATAAACACAAGCATGCTGTTTGCCAATACAAATGAACTCAGATACATTCCTGTGATCTTTTGAGGCTCTGATTTTACTTTCAAAGTACAATGTTTCTAGTTTTTACTTTCCCATTTCCATAGGAAACTGTTAATGACACAAACCAAAAGCTGCCTGTGAACAGCTCTTGCAGACACCACCTTTAGCAATGGCTTAAAAATACAGCAATTATGTTTTGCCTCATGCTGCCATGGATTAGGAACATGTTCTGTTACCAGTCAAGGCACAGTAGATTTCTTTGTGAAGTTTTATTAGAAGTGTGAGCTCGTCTGATTCCAACTCAATGGAAAAGATGTTGTGACCAGAACATGATCTTCTGCAGAGCACAGAGGAAATCCGCACATCTTTGCTCTACTACAACACCTCTTTGTACATTGTCCAAAGCCTCTGACCTTTCCATCTCGCTACTCCCTCCGAAGGAACTAGCTTTCAATGTTTAAAATGAGTTGTGGTGTATCAGACTGAATGTACCCAGAGTCTCCTGCAAAGCACATCTGCCTCCATTCAGCTCCTGCACCCCAGGGGAAGGAGAATTCCCTACAGACAATCCCTCCCACACCAAGAAGGCTTCCCTAGGGGGTCCCCCTCCACTTTCTCCTAGCAATAAGGAGGTCAGCAAAGAGCTGAACGTGAAGAGAAAAGAGAATCCCCCACATGCTTAGAGCAAATAATTCCTTGTCTTCATCAGAAGACTCTCACACAAGGTCTGATTTGGAGTTAAACCATTGGCAAGCTCCCCTCTGCCCCAGTCCACAGTAGAAAACAAAGCAGGGAATGAACTCGAGCGCACAAAAAAAGGTCCAAGGAGCATAAACCAAAACAGTTCTCCACCAGCAACCTTCCTGACCTCAGAGCCTAAAAATCACTGTGAAGTGCCAAATATCTTCCCTGTTCATAGCTTATGGGAGATGACAAAGAGGGAATCTCCCAGTAGCCTGATCTGCTTACCAGTATTTCTACTGTTTCATGTAGAAAATGAGTACCAGTAACAAAGCTTCCCATCTAACTACTATCTGAGCTGTTACATTCCCATGGGGAAGAGGAGATCAAATGCATCCCCTGGAGATGCAGACATAAGCTCCACTGCAAAATAACAGGATGTGGCTGCAAGATGCCAAATCTCAATCTCTCTCTGGCTCTGCCATGCCTGGCTGCTTACCTGGGTCATCTTGTCCACCGAGACAGGAATGCCATCGATGGTGAGGGGTGGCAGCTCGGAGTTAACCTCCTGAGGCGCAGGAGCGTGTTCCGCTAGCGCAGACTCCAGGTCTTCCAGGATCATGCTCTTGTACTTGCGTACCTGTAGGGAATCATTAAGCTCAGGTAAACAAGGTAGGGAGCACCAGGAGAGGTGAGGGCGAGGATGCAGGGCCAGCCACCTTCCCCAAGGTGTTGTGGAACAGAAGGAGCAAACAAGAAGCTGGCAAGAAAAACATACCCACTGGCCCTGAGGACTCAGCTGTATTAAAGAGCTGCTGACGAAACATCGAGTAACACTGGCAAGTGAAAGTATTTAAGGGATTAGAAGTTCTGAAGCAAGAGTTATCATGGTTAGGATCCATTTACTTTCTGGTCTGCAACAAGGTGCAAGCACTGACAGCTGAGCTGAGCTCAAACACATCATCATTATGGGCTCCTTCTGACTTTTAATCCAGGATATTCAGCCCTGGTGAGCTGAGCTGAGCAACCACTGATGCAGAGAAGTCAGGACCTCAGTGCTATCCTCATGTCCTTAGAATCTGAACTCCTGTTTCCAGGGTTTTAAACACGACTTTCAGATCCCTACCAGCCTTGCAAAGCTGCCTGGAGCAGAATGAAACCTGCGGAGAAGGTGAACAACTTCTTACACAGCTTTTCCTAGAGACACCTACCACATTCTCCAAGGGTGCAGCACCGAATACTTTAAAGACAGGGTTGGGTTTGGAGGGTGAGATGCAGAGAACGATGGCCTGCTGCCCCACTCTGGTGGTGTACTCATCCAGCGTGGCTCGGAGCTTCCTGAAACACAGGCAGAAAGCAGTGAAACCAGCTGAAAGCCCTGCAGAAACACAACCCTTCACATTGTAAATTCCCTTTCTTAATGCTGCCCATTCAGAAACCAGGTGAGAAGTGGAACCCCAGATGGCCAGACCAGCCCCACATCCTGCTTATTCCTCCACTCCCGCAGGCCTGCTGTGTTCCCTGCAGTCACCAGCAGCTCAAATATCACTTATTCTCCTTTCTTTCCTTTTTCCATTGATGTAAAAAGGAAAACAAAATCAGCAGAGCAGCAAAGCCAGGACAGCAAGAGTCTGCATATCCCCTCTGTCACCAAAGGGTATTATACAAAACTTGGAAGAACTTAATGATTCAACAAAAGAGGACTGCAAATAGAGGTTATTTCACATCCAACCTTGTAACAGAGCACTGCAATTCTGTAGTACTGAAGTCCTGCTCAAACCAGGACCATCAGAATTCAACCTACAACTACAGGACAGCCAAGAAGCAGAAATATTACAACAGCTCAGCACAGAAAACCCGAGTATTGAGACAGGAGCCATATCAGCAAGTCCCTTTGGAACGATCTCTCTGTAGGAAGAAAATGTTCCATCATATACTTTCTACCTCGTCTTCCCTTTAAAGCAATGGAAGAGAATGTGTCAGAAATACTGACAGAAACTCAAGAGAGAAGCAGAGTTTATCAACAGGTAACCTCAGCACTCCATGGTGACAGTGCAGTATCGACCCTGGGACTTCAGAACCCGCTGTTTACAGCAGACCTGTTGCCAAGAAGCACCAACATCCGCTACAGAGATCCCAAAACCAGAAGCTGTAACTTCCCACTTGATTCAGTGGTGTAAAAATCAAGCAAAAATGTGCTAAACCAATCAGAGTGCAAAAAAAAACAACATGCATTTTGTCACTCTCTGAAATGTAGTCACACGAAGCAGTTGCACGAAGGGAGGAGAAAGAATTCCTTTACAGAGGAGTTTCTTCAAAACAATATTGTTCACAGTTCAAGAGAGAAAAGAATTTGCTCTTCAGAAAAGTTGCAATGAACACAGCTCAGTCAGCAAAGCTGGGAGAAGGAAGGAAAAGCAGAATAGAGCTATAAAAGAAAGGGAATCCGCTCCCAGGAAATATTTAACACTAGCTCTGTTCCACTTGGCTCCTGCTAGATCTGGTGCAGAGGGTGCTGTGGGACTCAGCAGAGGAGTAAGCAGAATAAGGAAACCAACTTAATTTCTCACTAAGAATTACAGGAGAGAGGGAAATAAGGCAAACCTCTGTCCAGCACTACTCCAGTGCATTTAGCGTACACACACGAGGAAGTCAGCAAGAAACAGTGTCAAATACCCCTGCCTCCTCTAACATAACCCAGTTACACCCAAATCAGTTTAAAAGGCAAAACCTCCTTTGTTCCAAATCCTAGTAAATAATATCAACTGCTATTTGCAAGTGTTTCCTGATGGGTTAGCAGATGATGTCTCCAGACTTGCGGGAAGCATGTGTAGTCAGCTCAGCACTGGCGCTCCTTGGTGGCCATCAGGCGGGCAGACAGCCTCAGAGCACCTGTAATGCAGCACCTGAAGAGCTGTGGAGGTTTGGTGTCTGCAGAGCAAGCTGCTGAAGCCAAAGGAAGTGTTTCAGCTCTGGCATGCATTTCCCCTTCATTATTCTCCCCCAAAACTGTGAACTAAAGGCTGGGTAAGACTTCAGTCTTAAGGGGAGACCTTAGAGCAGCTCCAGTGCCTAAAGGGGCTGCAGGAAAGCTGGAGAGGGGCTCTGGGCAAGGGCCTGTAGGGACAGGCCAAGGGCAATGGCTTTAACCTGCCAGAGGGGAGACTGAGATGAGCTCTTAGGCAGAAGCTCTTCCCTGTGAGGGTGCTGAGGCGCTGGCACAGGGTGCCCAGAGAAGCTGTGGCTGCCCCATCCCTGGCAGTGTTCAAGGCCAGGTTGGACACAGGGGCTTGGTGCAAGCTGCTCTAGTGGAAGGGGTCCCTGCCTGTGGCAGGGGGTTGGAACTGGATGGGCTTTAGGATCCTTTTCAACCCAAACCATTCCATGATACATTACGTAGACAAGACCTTTGTGCCACTGCAGAGCTGGGATATGGCTGTAGCTCCAGATTCTCAGGCCAGCTGCTGTTAGGGCCACTGTGAACATCTTACAAGGCAATGTTACAATGACAGATTCACCTTGTGACCAACTGGGGTAAAACCAGAATGCTGGATCCCACCAGAATGCTCACGACAGTCCTAGTGATCATAACATCACACTGAAGATGAGCAGAGCTGCAACTTAACCGATTTCTTCAACAGAGATTTGGGTTGCAGAAAAGATGCCACCAAAAAACCCCAAGCTGGGCAACTTCTGGACAGCACTGGAGACAGACCAGGGATGCAGACCAAGGTGTCAGAGTGCAGGAGGAGTTCTTACCGTAGCAGACGTGTTTGCTGCCTCTTGCGGATGGATGGGTTGGACTCAAACATGTGTGGTCGCTTCCGTTTTTTACCTGTCGCCACAGCAGCGGCTGCTGCCATCCCCACAGGGCCTGGAAACCAAACCACAGAGGGTCAATCAGCACACTGGGCTCAGGAACTGGCCAGGAGGGACACTGCCATTGCTCCCCACGCAGGATGGGTCCCAAGGGATCAGCTTCAAGGGCCTCCCCATCAGACCAGGGTGATGTGAATTCCCTGCTGAATCCCTCCTCTCCAGCAGTATCAGAGGTGTGTGTCAAAAGGCTCCATTCCCAAGACTGGCAAATCCCAGCTCAGTCCCAGGTGAAAGCCACATATGTCAGTCCAAAGAATCCCTTATAGTCATGTAATTATGTATTTTAACTTCCAAAGAGATGGAAAAACTCTCAAGTACATCAAGACTTCAAATAACTGACTGTAATTGAGGAGATTCCAGTAGCAAGGGAGAAGAGGCCAGGTACAACACCATGAATCCTCTTGGACACAACTCCAGCATCAGGAGTCCAAAGCTTTCCCTAGGCATTAAATGCCAGTTCTAATAGGAAAGTACTGGTAATCCAGAGTTCCCAGCAGCATCCTACAACAGGCCCCTGAAGAATAGTGGGGACCACAGCAGGGCAGTGCTATTGCTTTTGCGATCAAACTCTGGACACAGACTCTATGGAAGGGGAAGTTTCCTTAAGTTAATTGGAAGTAAATCAAGTAACATGGAATGGGTTGTGCTTCTATCTGTGATGCCCAGAAACGAGTGCAGAGTCAGAATCAGAAAGCCCTGGGGTCTACTGCAGGCTCAAGGACGTGCCTGTGACTCCTGAGCAGACCTCAGGCACTCTTTGTGTGGTTCCTCCATGTATCAGAGGTCAAAGATCACACCGGGCATCATAAAAGCACTCTGTGTTTAACAAAGATGCAGCTACTGGATCAGAAAGTCCTCAGCTAATGATTAGTGGAAGCTGGGAGATGATAACAAAAGTAGTGTCTGATGATACAAGTTCTCTAACCAACTGCTCTGGGAGACAGTACATGGACAGAGCTCTGGGTGACACTGCAGAGCCAGGTTTTGTTAATTCCTAACAAACTACCTGAGCACTACCATGGCCAGAACTGCTCCACACTGCTCCAAGGATCCTGTGCTTGGGAAAAACAGGATAAAATCGCTGTCATTTGGGGGACTGGAAGAACAGTTGCTCTGGAGAAGTGAGGAAAGGCCACACTGGGCTCTTGGGCAAGCTTTGGGCTGGACGTCAGTAGCTTGAGAGAGGACGCCTGCAACACCGGAACGGAGCCGGGGGAGATCAGTGTCCAGGAGCCTCACCTCAGAGCAACAAGAGCCACCAAGGAGGGAGCCTCAAGTCCTCGACAGGGCTTGCCCAGGAGCCGGCAGCTCAGCTCACACAAGGAGCTGACTCACAGGGGCCAGGAGCAGTGGCACCAGCCCTGAGTGGGTAAAAACCTGACCAGGGAGCGCGGCGGAGCAGTTTGCGCGGGCAGGCGAGCAGGGTGACTGCCTGGTCAAGAGGAGGAAGGACTGCTTGCTTGTGCGGAGAGACGTAGACGGACCGATGGCTCAGACAGATGATGGTCACAACACGATCAAAAGCTGTAGTGAGGAATAATGTGGGTACCCAGACTGAGCCTTCCTGCAGACATGCAGCCGTGCAGGTCTCTGGCTGCAGTAAATGCCTGAGCCCGGCACTTGCAGTGGAGAGAGGCAGTGCCACCGCCTGTGTGCGGTGTGAGCGGATAAATGATCTGCTCAGGCAGGCGGCTGAACTGAGGGAGGAGGTAGAAAAGTTGAGAGCCATCAGAGAGTGTGAAAGTGAAATTGATTGGCGGAGCCATGCCCTAAGGCAAGGGCAGGGGGAAGTGGTTGAACAAGTGATGGATCCCCTTCCCTCCTACCATCAGATAGGAGTGAACTTAAGGGACAAGGAGGTACAGAGGGAGGTCCCTCCTCGGAGAGGTAAGAAAAAACCCTCGCAGTCCCTTTCTCCCTCCCAGTTGCCCTTGAATAACAGGTACAAGGTCTTGGAACTACAGGGCCAGGTAAATGGAGATGGAGGGGTAGATCTATCTAGTGAGTCACCTAGGGCTTGTCACTCACCCCCATGCCTTAGAACTTCCTCAACCAAGAAGAAAAGAAGAGTAATTGTGGTGGGTGACTCCCTTCTGAGGGGAACAGAAGGGCCCATTTGTCGACCTGATCCATCCCACAGGGAAGTCTGCTGCCTACCTGGGGCTCAGATTGGAGATGTTAAAAGGAAACTCTCTGATCTGGTGCAGCCCTCTGACTACTATCCGCTGCTGGTTTTTCAGGTTGGCAATGATGAAATCATTACAAGGAGGGCAAGGGCAATGAAGAGATACTTCAGGGCCCTGGGACGGCTGGTTAGAGGGTTTGGAGCGCAAGTGGTGTTTGCCTCCATACCTGTTACAAGCAAGGGTGAAAAGATAAATAGGAAGAGTCTCCAGATTAATGTATGGCTACGGGACTGGTGCCGAAGGGAGGGTTTTGGGTTTTTCAGTCACGGGCTGCTATATGAGACACCTGGTTTGCTGGTGGCAGGTGGGATATACCAGTCCCAGAGGGGGAAAAAGGTTTTTGGGGCAGGAGTTAGCAGGACTCATTGACAGGGCTTTAAACTAGGTAGGAAGGGGAGATAACTGGGCCTGTTGGGGACAAGCCCAAGAGAAACATGCTAGGGCTTGAAGGATGGCAGACGAGGGAGGACTCTCAATCTATTGTTTCATTTGAGGGAAAGGATAGTTGTTTAGACCCTGTCCTGCAGGGGAAAAAGGGTACTTGGGCAAGAGTTAGCAGAACTCACTCACAGAGTTCTAGGTTAGATTCAAAGTGTGAGGGGGGTGTAGCTGGGTTTGAACTAGTGGGGCATTGTTCTAGTATGAATGAAGACCAGAAGGCCTCCCGCCTTCCAAGGGTGCCACTAGCGTGCTCTGCTCGCTCCCTGAAACGCCTGCACACCAATGCACGCAGCATGGGGAATAGACAGGAGGGGTTAGAAGTCTGTGTGCGGTCTAAAGGTTATGACCTGGTGGCAATTACAGAGACATGGTGGGACAGCTCACGTGACTGGAATGTGGTCATGGATGGCTATGTCCTTTCTAGGAAAGATAGGTCAGCAAAGCGAGGTGGTGGAGTTGCTCTTTATGTGAGAGAGCGACTAGAATGTATTGAGTTCTGTCCAGGGGCAGATGAGGAGCAAGTGGAAAGTCTGTGGGTACGAATTAAGGGACAGGCTGGTACGGGCGATACAGCTGTGGGGGTCTATTACAGACCTCCTGATCAGGACGAGGGAGCTGATGAGGCTTTCTACAGGCCATGGGGGATTTTAACTACCCCAATATTTGCTGGAAGACTTACACTGCCAATCATTCACAGTCTAGGAGGTTCCTCCAGTGCATTGCTGATAACTTCTTAATGCAAATGGTGGATAAACCAACTAGGAGACGAGCGCTGCTGGATCTAGTACTCACCAACAAGGAGGGTATGGTTGAAGTGGTGATGGTCAATGGCAGCCTTGGCTGCAGTGACCATGAGATGGTGGAGTTTAGGATCCTGTGTGGGAGGAATAGAATACGTAGCAAGGCCACAATTCTGGATTTCCGAAGGGCCAACTTTGGCCTCTTCCCATGAGACTTCCCTTAGCAACTGATTGAAAGGGTACTAGGTGGTAAAGGGGCTCAAGATAGTTGGTCAGCATTCAAGGACCACTTCTTCAAAGCTCAGGATCAGAGTATTCCAATGGGTAGGAAGTCAATCAGGGGAGCCAGGAGACCAGCATGGTTAAACAAGGAACTGCTGGGCAAACTCATGCGGAAAAGGAGAATCTATGGATTATGGAAGGAGGGGCTGGCCACTTGGGAGGAATATAGGACAGTTGTTAGAGGATGTAGGGAGGCAATTAGGCCAGCTAAGGCCTCCTTGGAACTTAATCTGGCAAGTCGGGTTAAGGACAATAGAAAGGGCTTCTTCAAATACATAGCAGATAAAACTAACACAAGAGGCAATATAGGCCCACTGCTGAATGAGGTGGGTGCCCTGGAGACAGAGGATATAAAGAAGGCAGAGGTGCTGAATGCCTTCTTTGCCTCTGTCTTTACTCCTGCAGACTCTCCCCAGGGGACCCAGATTCCTATAGCCCCGGAAGGAGTCAGGATAAAGGAGGAGTTTGCTTTGGTGGATGAGGATTGGGTTAGGGATCAGTTAAGCAATCTGGACGTCTATAAATCGATGGGTCCGAATGGAATACACCCGTGGGTGCTGAGGGAGCTGGCGGAGGTCATTGCTGGGCCACTCTCCATCATCTTTGGTAAGTCGTGGGAAACAGGAGAGGTGCCTGAGGATTGGAGGATGGCAAATGTCACGCCAGTCTATAAGAAGGGCAAGAAGGAGGACCCGGGTAATTACAGACCGGTCAGCCTTACCTCCATCCCTGGAAAGGTGATGGAACAACTAATTCTTGACACCATCTCTAGACATATCAAGGATGAGGGGCTCATTAAGTGCAGCCAACATGGTTTTACCAAGGGGAAGTCATGTTTGACCAACCTTATAGCCTTCTATGAGGAAGTAACTAGGTGGCTGGATGATGGTAGAGCGGTAGATGTGGTTTTTCTTGATTTCAGTAAGGCATTTGATAACTGTCTCCCACAGCATCCTCACAGATAAGCTAAGGAAGTGTGGGCTTGATGATCAGGTAGTGAGGTGGATCAAGAACTGGCTGAAAGGAAGAAGGCAGAGAGTTGTGGTTAATGGGGCAGAATCTAGCTGGAGTTCTGTGACTACTGGAGTCCCTCAGGGGTCGGCGCTGGGACCAGTGCTGTTTAATATTTTCATCAACGACCTGGATGAGGGAACTGAATGTACCCTCAGCAAGTTTGCTGATGATACTGAACTGGGAGGAGTGGAGGAGTGGCTGACACACCAGAGGGCTGTGTTGCCATTCAGCAAGACCTGGACAGGCTGGAGAGTTGGGCGGAGAGAAACTTGATGAAATATAACAAGGGAAAGTGTAGAGTCCTGCATCTGGGGAAGAACAACCGCATGTACCAGTACAGGTTGGGGGCTGACCTGCTGGACAGTAGTGAAGGGGAAAGGGACCTGGGGGTCCTGGTGGATAGGAGGATGACCATGAGCCAGCAATGTGCCCTTGTGGCCAAGAAGGCCAGTGGCATCCTAGGGTGCATTAGAAAGGGGGTGGTTAGTAGGTCGAGAGAGGTCCTCCTCCCCCTCTACTCTGCCTTGATGAGGCAGCATCTGGATTATTGTGTCCAGTTCTGGGCCCCACAGTTCAAGAAGGACAGGGAATTGCTTGAAAGAGTCCAGCGCAGAGCTACAAAGATGATTAAGGGAATGGAACATCTCCCTTATGAGGAGAGGCTGAGGGAGCTGGGACTCTTTAGCTTGGAGAAGACTGAGGGGTGACCTCATCGATGTTTACAAATATGTAAAGGGTGAGTGTCAGGATGATGGAGCTGGGTTTTTTTCAGTGATGTCCAGTGACAGGACAAGGGGCAGTGGGTGTAAACTGGAGCATAGGAGGTTCCATGTGAACACCAGGAAAAATTTCTTTACTGTGAGAGGGACAGAGCACCGGAACAGGCTGCCCAGGGGGGTTGTGGAGTCTCCTACACTGGAGACATTCAAGGCCGCCTGGACAAATTCCTGTGTGATGTACTCTAGGTTACCCTGCTCTTGCAGGGGGGTTGGACTAGATGATCTTTTGAGGTCCCTTTCAACCCTTGGGATTCTGTGATTCTGTGATGTGTCAGTGCCTGCCCTAGAGAAGTGGGGCAGCTCCTGTTATGGGCTGCCAACCTCTGGCCAGTGGCTGGAGGGGTACTGGACACCCTCTGCATATGGAGCCACCAGATGTGGCTCCTGCAAACACCACCCAAGCCTGAAAAGCTTGTGTGCTAGAAGAGAAGGGGAAAAGAATCCTACAGGAGCTGAGGTTTGAGAATTCCTAAGGAAAGGGATGCTCAGTGTGGTGGTGGAAATCTGCAGGTTCAGTCAAGCACATCAAGAGCTCTGTTCAGCAGATAAAGTCTGATACAGAGTCAGGTCAGACCCTGAGTGTTTTATCACTGTATTTTTCTCCTAATGAGGTCAATCTGGTACAAGGCAAATGAGGAGGCCATTTGGCTTCACTGAAAGGAATTTGTGGTTCTGTAATGCTTTCCCAGTCCAGATATGCTGGGGACCCTTTGTAGCGTCTCCTTGAGAGAGGCCTTGCATGTGAATGTCATCTCCTTGGCTAAGCAAGATAGTGCAGCACTCCTGGGTTATTTTTGCTGTTGTTTATACAGGCTTGAAATAAGCTTGCTCTTTGACATACATTTTAGCTTCATTATTTGAGGCAGCACTTACCAAGGACCCTCCTTATTGCACAAACCAGTCTCTTATGCCTCTTCTTACACACAGATAAAGTGATGCAATATCGAAGCAGCTGGCAGGCCTTGTGAAGAAGGTCAATAAGCAAAGGCAATAAGGAGATATTCAGAGCATCCCATGGGTGCAAGATCACCACCCACCTACAAGCGCTGTTTGCAACCTCTGCGAGGATAATCAGGGGCTGGAGCCTGACAGGCTGAGAACACTGGGGCTGTTCAGCCTGGAGAAGAGAAGCTGTGTGGAGACCTCAAAGCAGCTTCCCGTGTCTGAAGGGGGCTACAAGGATGCTGGAGAGGGACTCTTCATCAGGGACTGGAGTGACAGGACAAGGGGTCATGGGTTCAAACTGAAACAGGGGAAGTTCAGGTTGGAAATAAGGCAGAAGTTCTTCCCTGTGAGGGTGCTGAGGCGCTGGCACAGGGTGCCCAGAGAAGCTGTGGCTGCCCCATCCCTGGCAGTGTTCAGGGCCAGGTTGGACACAGGGGCTTGGAGCAAGCTGCTCTAGTGGAAGGAGTCCCTGCCTATGGCAGGGGGTTGGAACTGGAGGAGCTCTAAGGTCCCTTCCAACCCAAACCAGTCTGGGATTCTATGAATGCCATGTTAAATGAACAACAGTGATTGTACCTGCTGCAGCCAGGTGGGCAGTGACTTCGTCAGTAGCTGTGGAGTTGAGGATGTCAGAGTCATCGTAGGATGTGTCCTCTGGTGAAGATGGTGAGTCCTCATCTGCACTGAGCATGCTGTGCTCTGTGTAGGTGGCCACATGGACCTGTTGCACTTGCTGGGCCACCGCATGGGCCTCGATGGTGGCCATGTGCTCTGTTTGGGTCACCTCGTGTTCATCCATTAATAACCACTGTCAGAGGAGACAAAAGAAATCACAGGAAGGGGTTACTGACATCGAGGTAAGCGTGGGCAGCCAAAGGTTTCTCAGCCAGCTGGGTAAGCAGGATGTGACCGCAAGGGAACAGAGATTACCTTCCCAAGTGACAGTGGTCTTTGACAGGGAAATAACAGCTACACCGTGAAGCAGAAGAGGAGCTTGAAGTGTATGGGTTTGAAAAGTCCATACTTCCAAACAACATGGCACAGCACCCAGACAGTCATCTTTGCTGGAATGGATTCTGTAGCCCTGAGATGCGCCACTCACCCACTACACGTTCAGAGGTCTGATCAAAGCTGGAACTTCTTTTTGCCACTTCAGCTTTCTGGGCAGATGTGAAGTGTCCTGACCCGTGGCAGGGGATGGGAACTGGATAATCCTAAGGTCCTCTCCAACCAAAACCATTCTGTGATTCTAAGATGCTCGAGGGCGTTACGCAATCCCCGTCCTTCAACCTCAGTAGCTCAGAATATAAACAAGGATCCCAGAACAGAAGTTTAGTGGCAGCAAGTTGCATTCTGGAGGCCATTTTTGTTGTATTACTTATTTAAAGTCTGGAAGGAGGCAAAATCATTACAATCCAAGCGCAAACATTAGATAAAGCACATTTATTTCATGCATCTAGTGGTAAACCACTGAGCAAAGCAGCTGCTTACACACTGAGCAGGGCACTGGCCCACATGGCATGAACATAAATCTGTGCAGAAGGAACAAGACAGGAGATACACGGATATTTTCAGTGTGTGGAAAAGGGACATCACATCCTGAAGATATTTTCAAACTACAATAGAAGAATTAGGACATCAGCCGATCCCCAAACCCCCCCAGGACAAACAGCAGAAGGAAACACATGATCACCTGTAGAAAACAGTAACATATACCCAGCAAATTCTCATCCTGTAAGTGCAGTCATAGAAATTAAAGCTCTTGATGACACCCTCTTCATGGAAACCTCTTCAGTTTGTCAGGAGGAAAGAGCTAGGAACATGGATACAGCCACAGAGTGGTCTCAGTACATGGCTGGGTAACTGCTCTATGGAGTCAGGCAAGCCATGTGATTAGCCTGGAGAAGAGAAGGCTCCTGAAGGGGAGACCTTAGAGCAGCTCCAGTGCCTAAAGGGGCTACAGGAAACCCAGAGAGGGGCTTTGGACAAGGGCCTGTAGGGACAGGCCAAGGGGAATGGCTTTAACCTGCCAGAGGGGAGACTGAGATGAGCTCTTAGGCAGAAGCTCTTCCCTGTGAGGGTGCTGAGGCGCTGGCACAGGGTGCCCAGAGAAGCTGTGGCTGCCCCATCCCTGGCAGTGTTCAAGGCCAGGTTGGACACAGGAGCTTGGAGCAAGCTGCTCTAGTGGAAGGTGTCCCTGCCTGTGGCAGGGGGCTGGAACTGGAGGAGCTTTAAAGTCCCTTCCAATACAAACCAGTCTGAGATTCTATGATCCCACCATTGCCCCAGCAGCAAAGCACCTGTTATGCATCTGAAGGGTCCACACTTGGATTTGAACAGGGATTCAGGCACAGGGGATGAAAGGAAAGTTGTTCTTGGTTAATTTCAGAGATGAACATTTATCATTCCAGAAAAAAAAAAGAACGTTTATTCCTGTTTTCCTTCAGACACCAGAACATTTTCAGGTGTAAGGAAACCCTAAAGGTATGATGATGCCTGCAAAGACATTTCCTGGTAGCTGCAGCTCAGTCCAGAAGCCCAGAAGGATTTTGAAGCCATTTAAACTGCTTAAAAAAATATGAGGATAAAGTCCTCTCATCACAAAGTGCAGTTGCCTCATGACCATGTCAGGGGTTCCTTTGATGTACTGTCAACTACAATCAATGGCTGTTGACACCATTGCTGGAAGAACACCAGACGCAGGAAGAACAAAGCTAAAGCAGCAGAAGCCAAACCATTCAAACCAGCAGAAAACAGAAACTGAAGAGAAAAGCCGTAAAATCTACATTAAATTTAAACCCACATGGATTAAAATGCAGTTTTTGTCTGCTCAGTGTAATCTGTGGTGTGACTGTAAAGAGATACAACTCAACCCGTACAAAACCACTGTAGAAACTGTCCTCTGTCATCGCCATCTGGTTTAATGTTGCTCACGGGTGCTTTAAACTGAGCTAAAAATATGAAGTCCACAGCAGAAAAAAGGATGAGGTTCATCAGCATGACTGGAAAAGCTCTTGCACAGACAGGGCCGGGGCTTATTTTTAACCTTTAGACCACTGAAGCGGTTTTAGTTCAGATGCTGTGGAAGACAAGACACTGCCCTCTGAGACAGGCTTAACTCGGAGACAAGCAGCACTCTGCTGGCATTGGAAATCACTCATCCAACATAATGCCCAATTCACCCAAACCCCTGCTCAGATGAGCAATGCATGAAAGAATCACTGGGTCTCACTTCCTCGGCAGTTTAAATGATGCAAATATGAATTATCTGAATGAAGACAGAAGGAGAAGGGCTGAGATGCAGAACGGTTTGACAGAGACCTGCTCTGTGCTCTCCCATGCACACACACAGCTCATTCCAGCCACGTGCTCAGATCCTTCCTGAGAGAGACCAGAGGGAATGCAGGGGCACAGGTTTTAAATGAAAAGAGGGGAGATTTAGATCAGACATAAGGAAGAAAGGCTTTATGGTTGGGATGGTGCCCCAGAAGCTGTGGCTGCCCCATCCCTGGTAGTATTCAAGGCCAGGCTGGACACAGGGTCTTGGAGCAACCTGCTCTAGTGGAAGGTGTCCCTGCCCGTGGCAGGGGTTGGAACTGGCTAAGCTTTAAGGTCCCTTCAACCCAAACCAGTCTGTGATTCTATGATTCTACCATTCTGAAAGGGGGTGCTAACAGGTAACAGCCTCATCAGAATCCAAAACAAAAGTTCTCCTGGCCAAGTTTTGCAACCAAACCTTCCTTCTTCTTGTGCCTTACAGACCTCACATGAGGAGCAAAGCCCTCCTACATAAGCCAACACCACACAGCCCAAGAAGTCAGTGTGAAGAAAGGTGAGCTGTCCTTGTAAATAAAAAGCTTTGCATTTTCTTTGTAAATAACCCTGGTTGTCCAAATTCAGGCTTCATATTTTGATACCAGGAGTAACCACTATAAGCAGAACACAAGGGAAGAGCTCACCTGTATCCTGTAACAGCATCCACATAAAGATGAGGATGACATTGGTATAACATACAAGAATTAGCTAAGCACCAATAGCAGGTAGAGGCCAACTCACACAGCCTGTTCAGTGTGCTGTGGCAAAACTTCTCCTAATCAAAGGTTTGGGGAAGAATGAAATCCCATCCCAGGCAGCTGCAGGGCACTGCTCCATTGGGGAACTACCCAACGTGTGATGAACATGCTGAGCTAATGCAGCAGCTCTGCCTTCTAGAGTGGATTATAAATGACAAAAGAGGAAGGACAGGGGACTAACAGATACACACAGTTCCTCAGAATCCACCTTATAAGTGGTCAATGCCAGCAGTTAGGATAACAGACACGTTAACCTTTCCAGCCAAGGGTACTGTCCCCAGCCGCGTTTCAGGCTGGTCAGGTCACCAACCTTCTCTTCCCAGTGATGAGGCTCAGGAGAAAGGCTGCATGACGTGACCCACCTATCATCCTCTGGAGAATTGCCTTTGAACTGATGAAAGGATGTTGAATTTAGATGGTACAGAAGCAAACCAGAGGCTATGGGAAGCCACAGTAACTACTGAGAAAGAGGCGATAAGCTTCCATCAGCTCATGTCTCTGAGAAAGGCCAGCCAGCCTTCCTCAAGCTCCTCCTCATCCTCCTCCTTCCACCTAAACATCACTGGGGTCAGTACCTAAACATACAAAGGCACATGCAGAGGTCTAGGCTGGTATCCACAGAGACCCAGCTCTCTGCAGCATGGACGGGTTAAGAAGGAACAAACCAGCCTGTTAGCTAGTGATGGACCCACCAAAACACAAAGAGCAGGGCACTGATGAAGCCTCATGGCCTTCAAACACTCCCTTGTAGAGGTGACTTTATAACGGTGTTTTCTCCAACACAGTATGTATTCAGCATACTGTAAAGTAAGAAGAAAGGAAGAGACAAACCAGTGTGGGGTTGCTCAGTTGGCCCAGGGAATATCAGCTGTTCCTGGGGTTTCTTTATTTTTCCTGTTTCTTTCTAATTTGCCTTGCTTTTTAAATTAAATGAGTTAGAGGACGTATTTGAGAAGGCCAATTCTCAATATCCACTCTCCAGAATAATCCCTCTGGCTCACTTCCTAATTTGCTTCAAAGGAATGGAAACAATCCCGGTTTTTCCTTTTCCAGCCCATTTTCTGTTTGATCCTTCCACTGTAGACAGCACCAATTCCTTATTGACAACCCTGCTCCACACAGGAACTCAGCACGTAGCACTTTGCCTGGCACTAGACAGCAGTCTTGTGATCTGTGTAAAATAGAATCCCAGACTGGTTTGGGGTGGAAGGGACCTTAAAGCTCCTCCACCTCCAACCCCTACCACGGGCAGGGACACCTCACGCTAGAGCAGCTTGCTCCAAGCCCCTGTGTCCAACCTGGCCTTGAACACTGCCAGGGATGGGGCAGCCACAGCTTCTCTGGGCACCCTGTGCCAGCACCTCAGCACCCTCACAGTAAGGAATTCCTTCCTTATATCCAACCTAAATTTCCCCTGTTTCAGTTTGAATGGAGTTTAAAAAAGAAAATAAAAGGGAACCAGAAATAACCTGTTCATCACTCAAGCTGGTCACCTTCCTCATGGCTTTAACGTCAATGAAATACCGCTCCATGTTCAGTGAGCTGAGTGTTCTCCAGAAAACAAGCAACACCTCCTCCCTTCCCTCCCCTCTTCTTGTGAAGCTGGCAAGCATCTGGAATTTAATGTGCCCTTAATGGATTCAAGCCTCTGCTGTAAATAAGTCCTTTGCTTTGCATTAAACCACCGGCATCACACTGGCACTTTTGTTCTTGTGGTGAGTTAATC